AGCCACAATAGGCCAGACGGCGCGCGCGCCCGAGGGGCCGGCCGGCGCGGGGCCGCGCGGCGCCGCTGGCTGCGTTCCCTCCCCTCCCCTCCCCCGCCCGCCGCCCTCGCTGTCCCCCGGGCGGCCGGAGACGGCGGCGGCGTCTGCGGGAAGCCGTGTCTCCGCAGTGACGTGGGCGGGCCGCGGGCCGGGTGACGTCAGAGGCCGTGTGTAGCGATGTGTGTGGGGTTCGGAGCGGCGCCGGCACAGCGAAGGCGGCGGGCGAGCGGCGGCGGCGGCGACGGCGGGCACAGGTGCGGCCGCAGGTCGCGAGGGGACGCGAGGGGCGGGCGGCCCCCAGGGGCGCTGAGGCGGCGGCGGGGGGTGACGGGGAGGCCACGGACCCCGTGGAGCTCCGCGGGCGCCGAGGGCCCGAGCGGGGCGTCCGGGATGAGTGGGGTCCCCGGGCGGGGTCGCGGGCACAGGGCGAGTGGCGGGGGTCCCACGGGGGAGGGACAGGCCTCGCGGACCCCGGGACGGGTCGGCTGGGAGGGGGATGGCGCTGCCCTTGACCCGAGCAGCCGGGACCTGGGAGACCTGGGCGCCGGTCATCGCCGCCATCCCCCGGCCGTCTGTGCTCGGCGGGGATGCCCCGGGCTGGCCCCGGCTCCGAGCGTCGGGCGACGCGGGCTTCCGGGCTTGGCGCCCAACCTGCCCGCGCCCCTCTCGGGTGCCGCGGCTCGGGGCGGCAGGCGGGGGGGAGGCGCAGCCCCGGGGGCGCCGAGGTAGCCCCGGAGAACTTCCCGCGGACCGGGCGCCCGGGGGCTTTCCACCGGCGGCCCCCGCGGTGGGACGGCAGGGGAGGGCACTTGGGGTGATCCCAGGGATGGGGGTGGGGAGGACGACTCCTCCTTCCCTCTGCCCCCTCACCTCTCCAGAGGTCCGGAGTCCCCTGCTCCCTGCCCTGCCTCCCGCGGGCTGGTGGGTGGGTGTCCCTGCGTGGGCGCAGGGCCGTGGGGCGCCCCCGCTCTAGGTCGTGCCTCCTGCCCTTTCCCTTGGCTCGCCTCGCCCGAGGTGTCCCTGGAGTGGCGAAAGTCACGGTGCAGTGGCTGAGGTGGCTTTCGTCCGTAATCCTTTGGGTTTGCGTTAACGTGAATCGCTGGGAGTTCAGAAGCAAAGGTTTTTCGTTGTCGGCTTTCATTTGGTTTTCTCTCGGGAGGGAAGTGGAGGACTACTCTTTTTTCCCCCCACTCTGCCTCCATTTGCATTCTTTGTGAGGTCTGTCTGCCTTGTGCTTTTTTGTCCCGGATTAGTCTTGCTCAAGGATGGAGATTTCCAGGCTTGGAGTCTTACAGCTTTTGGCTTTCATTAAGCAAATTCGCTAACCTTTTAAAGGGAAAGTTTTTTTTCCTCCCTTCATTTCAGGAAGATAGTATATATTGACTAGATGAATTAGTCCACTTGAGACTAACTTAGTTACATATGGTAGGTATATTAATGTGTTAGCTCTTTTTTTTATCTCTTTTTTTTTTTTTTTGAGATGAAAAAAAGAGTTCTTTTAAAATGGCATAGTTGAGAAAGCCTCTAGTACTGAGTTTAGGGTACTATTCTAAATTTGTGTACTCTCCCCCTCTATTTGGGGAATATTATTTAATGCTCCTGTTACCTTCTGACTGCTTCCTGTTAAAGTGAATTTTTTTTTTTTTTTTTTTTTTTGTTAAGATAATTTGTGTTAGCTTGAAAGAAATCACCCAAGTGTTACCTTTGGTAAAGTGAACTGAGTTTAAGATTAAGAAACTGGTTTTAAACTGACCCTTTGGCCTCTGGAGCAAATTCAAATGTAACTCTCCCCACCCCTTTCTCTTCTTCCAGATCAATTAAAAGAAGAATGAACTGTAATTCTTGAAGATAACTGGGCAGCTTTCTCATTTAGTATATATGTGTGTGTGTGTGTTTTTAATTAAAGACGTTCAGGTGAAGTCAGGCTCTTCTTACTGGTATGGAGATTTAGACAAGACTTCAGTTTGTCAGCACAGAGCAACTGACCGTTTTCAGTGAAGATACCTGCCTCCTTTTTGGTTGGTTGCATCATTGTAACTCATGTTTGGGTGTAGTTTTAGGATACAGCAGTAGCATAAACTTTCCACATACTTTGCTTAAAAAACAAGACAAAACCAAACCACCAAACTCAACCATTACACCAAACCTTGGACATCTTGAATTGAGAAATGAGCTTCATTTTAATGCAAATACACAAAGTACTCAAGAAGACAAGATTTTCCTCAGAAGTGTGCTTATGATTATATTCTTTATCATTAGAAGCAAACTGGGAAGTTTTGTAGTGTTTTCGATTATATCCTAAGGTATAACTAACCCAAAACAAAGTTGTACGAATCTATTCAGAAAATTCATCCTTGGAAACTAAAAATTTCTAAGTGAGTCATAAGTATTTGTATACATTACCCCTTTCTCTTCAAATTAGCAACTGAGTACAGCATGCCAGTTGCAGACTTAATTATTTAAAACACCAGTGTAGCCATGGAAAACCTACAGGCCAATTTCTCCTTGGTTCAGGGTTCGAATAAAAAACTGAACGGGATGGAGGATGATGGCAGTCCTCCTGTGAAAAAACTGATGACAGAAATTCATGCCAATGGAAAAACGCTAGCCAAGGTGAAGAAGGAGCATTTGGATGACTACGGAGATGCATCAGTGGAGGCGGATGGCGAGCATGCTGAGCGGAACTGTACTTCCCTACCCGAAACTTTAAACCCCAGCCTGAAACACACGCTGGCACAATTCCATTTAAGTAGTCAGAGCTCTTTGGGTGGACCAGCCGCATTCTCCGCTCGTTACTCCCAAGAGAGCATGTCACCAACTGTGTTCCTGCCACTTCCATCTCCCCAGGTCCTTCCTGGTCCTCTTCTCATTCCCTCTGATAGCTCCACAGAGCTCACTCAGACTGTTTTGGAAGGGGAGTCCATTTCTTGTTTTCAAGTTGGAGGAGAAAAGAGGCTCTGTTTGCCCCAAGTCTTAAATTCTGTTCTCCGAGAATTTTCACTCCAGCAAATCAACACAGTGTGTGATGAGCTCTACATCTATTGTTCAAGGTGTACTTCAGACCAGCTTCATATCTTAAAGGTCCTAGGGATACTTCCGTTCAATGCCCCGTCCTGTGGCCTGATTACGTTGACTGATGCACAAAGACTCTGTAATGCTTTACTGCGGCCACGGACTTTTCCTCAAAATGGTAGCGTGCTTCCTGCTAAGAGCTCTTTGGCCCCGTTAAAGGAAAGTGGCAGTGCCTTTGAAGTGGAACATGAATGCTTGGGCCAATGTCAGGGTCTCTGTGCCCCTGAGTTTTATGCTCGGCCCGATGCTCCCTGTATCCAGTGTCTGGAGTGCTGTGGGATGTTTGCGCCCCAGACATTCGTCATGCATTCTCACAGATCACCCGACAAGAGGACTTGCCACTGGGGCTTTGAGTCAGCCAAGTGGCACTGTTACCTCCACGTGAGCCAGAAATACCTGGGGACACCCGAAGAAAAGAAACTGAAGATAATTTTAGAAGAAATGAAGGAGAAATTCAGCATAAGAAATGGAAAGCGAGCCCAGTCAAAGGCAAGTTTCTTTGAGTAGTGATAATGGTATCCTACTATGTGTCGGTAGCTTTGTTTTATGAAGCCAGTGCTTCAGCATATTCATGTAGCAACAAAACCAGTGTCATGTTTGCCTGGTTTTGGTCTTAATGCTTTGTCCTGAATATTTTTTCATCTGAGAGAAGTGGGATCATTCCCATTTTACAGGTAAGAATGAGCCTCTGAGTCTCGAATGACTTTTCTAAAATTGGAGGCATTGTGGCTTCTTTTGGCCAATCTCTTACACATCCTGTTTCTTGACTGAATCGTGTTCCTAGGATTAAAGGTGGTTTACACTTTGTGTTGTGTTATCTCCATTTGCAAAGGATAGAGTGACCAGCTAAAACTGGTCTGATGGTAGGCTCAGAACTGCTTTTTGAAGTTATACCAATGTCTTTGATGTTTTTGTGCTTGAAGATTGCAGATAGATCAGTATTCAGATCAACTTAAGACATTTTTTTTCTGAGTAATTTGGTACTAGTAACCAAGATTTTGTTTTTAATACAAAAAGAAAGGAATGCTTTTGAAAAACTGATACGGAAGCAGAATAAAGGATATTTCAGATTAATGAAATATTTCTATAACAAGCTATCAGCAAAGAGATCTTAAACATTACTCTTCCCACAGCATTATCTGGTAGGCTAAGATAATGTCTTTATTCTAATTAAGATTTTGAATGGCTGGATGAAAGACAAAAGTTTGAAGTATTAAACCTTGATGTGGTTATTTTATATCTTTTTCTACTTGGTTTAAAATTAACATGTAATAAACCTAGCACAGTTTAAGATGTATTGAGTGTTACCCTGGAGCTGTTCTTCATGTATAATTTTACTTAATTAACTTTTATAACAGAAGATTGGCCACATTTTGACAACTTTTAAGTTTTCCGTTATTAATTATTTACCCCTTTGAAATACCATTTTCTGTTTCCTGGGAGAAGGTTTATGAAGCGTTGTTCACAGGAGGGTTAGGTAGGTTTAACTTACGGTTTAATATTGGGTGTTCTGTGCTTACCATTGAAGGAACTTCAGTGTCTTCTAAGGCTGTGATTTGTGGCTGAAGCTCAACATGGAGAGAACTAGACTTTTCCTTAGGGTAGCTTGCTGCTTTCCCAAAAGTATCACTGAAATTCCTCGCCGGTGGCTACTAGATAAGGCTTATTCTTCAGGTGCAGCATTAACTGGTTTTAAAGCAGGCTTGGCTAGATGCCGTGACTTTCAAAGTGGGAAACTTGCCTCTACCTCTATTTGTGGTTCTGGACTTCCTGCTCAGACATGGTCTATATTTGAAAATGAAGGCTGCCCCAGCTGATTAGGGCCCCTACCCTTAGGTGGCATTATTATTTGCTAGAGACTCTTGTTTTGGTCTTTTCTGTTGACAAGCATTCTTAGAACCACCTGTTCTGTGCTTGGCTGAAACCATTTACTGAAAAGGAATTGAAACTGTCCTTCACTTGGGATACAATAGTACAGATACATTTTTTTTATTTGATTTTGGGTATGTATGAGAGCCTCCCTCCTTTAGTTTTTTATTTTGCTTTCCTCAGAGATTGCTAGAGGTTTTGTGCCATGTTGTTTCCAATTTTATGTGAATTTTATGTTTTAAAATGCTGCTCCTGCACATTTTAAAATTACTTCCTCTAAACATGAAGAGGTAGTTTTTCATGGTCCATGAGGGAAATGATTTAGACTATTTCCTCCCATCAGGTGTGCCTGGTGGGTAACTGGTAGAATGACTTGAAGGTAGGTTTTCTGACTTAGAGGCTAGAAATTTTTCCTGAAGCGGCAGAAGCTGCATTTGAGGAGTAGTATTAGCACATAGGTTAGCACAGTGACTCTTAAATTCTTTGCTGATTGCACAAAGCTGAAGTGCAAGGGAAAGCAGTCTTAGGTTGCAAAAGGTGTTTTGGGGGCATTCAGAGAGTAAGGAAATTTTAGCTGTTGGTTGTCAGACAAACCAAATTGACGGAGAAACTGATTTTAAAAAATCAGATCAGACTTTTGTATAATTCAAAGACTGTTCTGGATATTTTAACCTTCTAAATGAAGGAGTATATTTAGTGTGGCCAGTGTAATTTGATATGCTTTATGTAGTCAAAATACTGGTTTTGGATTAAAATAAGAAGAAACCTGAAGATATAGGCAATTACTGGAAATGTAGCAGCTTATTTTTATTTATTAATGATTTAGTCATATTTCATATGCATTGATACTTTGCCTGCATGTGTGCCTGTGTGAGGATATTGGATCCTCTGGAACTGCAGTTACAGACAGTTGTGAGCTGCCATGTGGGTGCTAAGGAATTGAACTCGGGTCCTCTTGAAGAGCAGCCAGTGCTCTTAACAGCTGAGCAGTCTCATCAGCCCCTGTAACAGCTTGTTTTAAAGAACAGAAGTTATATTAGTAATGACCAACAAGCTATTTATTTGCATAGCTAATATATTTAATTAGCATAGTTTGATATATTTAGATTCTAGGAATAAGTGTGGTAAGGTAAAATGTTCTTAGTGGAAAACTGAATTTGTTTGTAGAAACTGAAATATTTTGGACCCTTCCGTAGGTCATCAGAAGTATTCATGATGGGTTTGGGAATGTGGCTCAGTTAGTAGAGCTTCCCTAGCATGCACAAAGCCCAGGATTTGATCCCTCACACTGGTAAGCCATGGGTGGTGTTGTGTATCTGCCATCCTGTGTTTGAGAAGTGGAAGTGTGGGAGGGTCATCCTTGGCTACATACAGAGATTGAGGGCAACCTGGGCTATATGAGACCTTATCTCAAAAAACTAACAAACCAAAACAACACAACCCCCATAATTTTAGGTATGCTAGGGTTGCTAGGCCCTTTGATAGGTTTCTTCCTTTTTTTCCCCTTTTCTTTTTGCTATGCTTTTTATTTAGAAAAATGGTTGTTGTGTTTTAGAATGCTTAAATAATATGCAAATATATTGTTTTCCTAATTTTTCACCTTACTGGTAGGGTATTGAGCCAGATAAGAATCAGACCAACTGAACTTGTGCCTGTAGAAGTACATCATTGGTAGATAAGCGTGAAGGGTGATGCTTAAGATCATTTTCAAGCATATTGGAAAAGGTCGTTTATAGTTAGCTGATAACAGAATTGTAGGCCATTCACTGTAACACAGGACTGATAATTTCTAATTCATTAACTTAAGAATGGTGAATGCCAGGCTAGAGAGGTGGCGCAGCACGTAAAACCACTGGCTGCTGGTTCAGAGGACCTGAGTTCAATCCTCAGCACCCATGTGGCAGTCCACAACCACCTGCATCTCCAGTTCCAGGGGACCCAAAGCCCTCTTCTGGCCTCTGAAGGCAACAGGCACATAAATATATTCAGATGAACACTTATGAACATAAAATTCTTTAAAAAAAATTGGGTGGATTTCTAACATTCAGACTGTCTACTCAGTACAGTAATAATAGTTTTATGGTAAACAGCTATGGGAATATTGTTTTTTAGGTGACTGTGATACAGATATCCTTAAGATAAACAACTTAGGAATATTTTGTCCTGGTTGGTAGAGAACTTAGCTTAGTTTGGGTTAGTCCTGGTTTGAGCTTCAGTTCACATATGTGTGTCTGCCCCCTCCCAAATTAACTGTTTCACTCCCTTCAGTTTTGCCTTTTTGTTTTTGCAGTGGTCACTGGAACAGTGGTACACACATTTCTTCTCTCTGGCAAGGGGCTGTATGTTTAACATTGCTTTTAATCCTAATGATGAAGCAACTACTTTTTAAATATTTGATATTTATTAAAATCTTTTGTAGTTCCGAGGTCAAATCCAAAGCCTTGCCCTTGTTCTCTCCTTTGCCCAATGCTTTTTTTCCTTCGAGGCAGGATTTCTCAATGTAGCCCTGGCTGTCCTGGAACTCATTTTGTAGACCAGGCTGGCCTCAGAGATTTACTTGCCTCTGCCTCAGCAGTTTTTTTTTTTTTAATTTAAATTATTTTTTTTTATTTTTATAAATAATGGCTTAACTTTTTAAAATATATGTAGTTTATAAATATAACTTAGTATACTTATCAAATGAGAGAGTGAATATGAGAGCATTTTGGAAGTTAAGTCTTTTGTATAGAAATGTCAGATGTTAATTAATGATCACTGAAATATTACTCTGTACATGGGAATTCCTCCCCACTTACATATGGAAGAACTTTGTCATAAGAAACAAACATTTTAAAATTGTTTATACTGTTAGACTGAGCTCAAATGATAGTGAATTGGATATGTGAGGTGTTTTCCAATTCCCACCCTGGTTGTCATCACCGTGAGGAAACCACAGTGGAGCCCAGCACAAACCTGCTTGGATTGGGTCAAAGTTTGTTTGGTACACCGTTTTCTTTGATGATGGGTCTTGGTGGGGAGTGGATAGTGATTGAGTATTTAGAGTCTATTTTTTTAATAGTAGAAGTACCTTGATTTTATTGTAAGTTTTTAGATTGCTTTAGGAATAATGTATTTTAATAAATACAGGACATATTAATCTTTTAATCCAAAATGGAATTGTTAGATATTGATTCTTTTTATTTGGAGTTCCTTTCAAACTACAACTTTTCATATGTGTACTCTTTCCTCATGTGGGCTCCATAAGAGAAGCAAGTCCTACAGAAAATGCTTGGGGAGATGGCTTTGCTAGTTCCCCCAAGAACAGTGCAGAGTACACACGCTGAGTGTCTTGGCATTTTTAACTCTCTTCATAACCAGGATGAGAAAGGTCAGAAGGAACATGAAATCATTTTAGTGGGTCATTAGCATTTAAATAAAAGCCAACACAAAGTAGAATAAAGTAGAAAATTGAGGATAATATACACAGTAAGACCAATTTTCTTTTTTTTTGTATTGATAATGAACATTATTTGAAGGCCCGAATCAGGCCATATTTTTTAAATGCATTTGTTTCCAGTAAGATAGAAAAATAAAGCTTTACATTTATTTTTAACTTGAAAAGAACAAGGGGACAAATAGAG